AATCTACATCTGCTAATGAAGAAGGTACTGCCACATTTCCAGAAGAGTTGAAGAAGTTGATTAAGGAGAAAGGATACCATGAAAAGCAAGACTTCAATTGTGGTAAAACTGGACTTTTCTGGGAGATCTCCAATAGAGCTTAAAAATTCATGAACATGCAAAGAAGGCACCAGGGTATAAAGAAGGACACATTAACTCTGGTACTAGTGGCAATGATGTAGGGTATATGACAAAGCCAGGAGGAGAGTGCAAAGCAATGAACCCATGCACTTTCAAAAACAAAAATGAAAATTATCTGCCTATGTTCTGGCAACATAATCAGAAAATATAGATGACAGTCATCTTGTTTATGGAATAGTTCTACCAATGCTTTTTCCTAGAAGTGAGAAAATATTTGGAAGAATGGTTGGAATTTAAAGTTGTATTAATAATAGACAATGCACATGGCCATCTTGAATCTGTTTGCTATGAAAACAAAAATGTCCAGGTTGTATTTTTACCTCAAAATACAACCTCATTGCTTCAGCTCCTTGACCAAGGCATCATTTGGTTTGTTAAGGCCACATATGAATGTCTGGTATTTGATAACGTTCAAGAAGAATTTGATGCAGACCTTAATCTGGACATAAAACAGTGCTGGAAATCATTCTCTATTGTTGGTGCAATAACATTCATCAAAGCTGCAACTGATGAATTAAAACCAGAAACTATAATGCCTGCTGGAAACACTTGTGAAGTCATGAATGATTTTAGTCTTCCCAAGGATCAGTGGAGAAGTTAGAAAAATTATTCATGCAGGAAGACAAGTTGGTGGAGAAGTATTTGTTGACCTGCTTGATGAAGAAACGGAAGAACATATTGAAGGCCAATGAGAAGTGTTAACAAATAGGAACTAGAAAAACTTGAGTCATCTACAGAGGAAAAGGAAGATGAAGAAACTGAAGCAGAACTGGATTGCTGAAATTTGTTAAAGTGTTTCAAATTGCATAGACATTAATAAATAAAATTATGAATGCAATCCTCTGTTAGAACAAAACATTTAAATCACCCACATGTCAACAGAAAAATTATAACTTCTGCAACAACACTTTGATGAGTTAAATAGAGACAACTTCCCATTACAATGTTCTTCCAAAATGTTTCCACACACACCCAAAAAAACCTTCAACTATGGAGGATCCCTGTATTAGTCCGTTTCATGCTGCTGTTAAAGACATACCCAAGACTGGGTAATTTACAAAGAAAAAGAGGTTTAATGGACCCACAGTTCCATGTGGCTGGGGTAGCCTCACTATCATGGTGGAAGGTGAGGGGCATGTTTTACATGGCGGCAGACAAGGGAGAAAATGAGAACCAAGCGAAAGATTTTCCCCTTATAAAACCATCAGATCAGCCGGGCACGGTGGCTCACGCCTGTAATCCCAGCACTTTGGGAGGCCGAGGCGGGTGGATCACAAGGTCAGGAGATGGAGACCACGGTGAAACCCCGTCTCTACTAAAAATACAAAAAATTAGCCGGGCACGGTTGTGGGCACCTGTAGTCCCAGCTACTCGGGAGGCTGAGGCTGAGGCAGGAGAATGGCGTGAACCCGGGAGGCGGAGCTTGCAGTGAGCCGAGATCGCGCCACTGCACTCCAGCCTGGGCGACAGAGCGAGACTCCGTCTCAAAAAAAAAAAAAAAACCATCAGATCTTGTGAGACTTATTCACTACCCATGGGAACAATATGGGGGAAACAGCCCCCATGATTCAATTAACTCCGCTAGGTCCCTCCCATAATACACAGAAATTATGAGAGCTACAATTCAAGATGAAATTTGACTGGGGACACAGCCAAACCATATCAATCCCTAACCATCCACATCATCTATTCCTGGCATCCAACCATGAACATTATCATGGCTTGATGATCTAGGATCACCCAAGGTAGAAGATCCTCCTTCTGATATATTGTCAGAAGGTCTGTATTAGCCTACTGATATGTCACAATGCCTATATCATTCACCTCATATGATTCTCATCACATAGGCATTGTATCATCTCATATCATCACAAGAAGAAAGGTGAGTGGAGTACAATAAGATATTTTGAGAGAGACCACATTTATATAACTTCTATTACAGTATACTGTTATAAGTGTTCTATTTAATTATTAGTTATTGTTGTTAATCTCTTGGTGTACATAATTCATAAATTATACTCTATCATAGGTATGCATGCATAGGAAAAAATGTATATAGGGTTTAACACTATCTGCGGTTTCAGGCATCCACTGGGGGCCTTAGAACATATCCCTCACAGATAAGGAAGATTATTGTTATGAAGAGCTGGAAGGGGGATGGGAACAGGCTAGTTAAAATATCACAAAGCTTATGGTTCTTACCATGATTTAAACATGTTTTAAAAATAAACACTCCTCAAATTATTGCAAGTCTTTTTTGGTTAGTTTCTATAATTCTGAAAATTTAATTTGGACAATTTTAGCTAGAGTTTTTATATACTTTATAAAGAAGTAGAATTTTGGAGGTTTTTACTGCACCATTCTGGAAGTGCTTCTCCTAGATTATTTCTGAGTTAAAGACAACTTTATGATGAAAATTACAGATAGTTTTAAAGCAAACAAATAATTAAAAACTACATATCTACCTCTGGCCAACATTTATTCAGTATAGAATTTACACCATAGAGTGCATTAACTAGAAAAAATAAAGGCCAACAACAAATAAATTTCAGTTATAATTCAGGAAACAATGAAAAGAATCAACATAAATAAAGCTAAATAAAGTATAAGAAAGGAATTAAAGATGTAACAAGGAAACCTTGAAATGTAACAAAACAATCCCTGTGGAACTCAAAAGTCATTCAATATATTTTAATGAAGCCTTAAATAAGTGCTTTCAATGCTCTAGGGCAGCACTGTTCAATAGAACTTTCTGTAGTGATGGAAAATCTGCACTATAATCTGCACCATCTAATCTGGTAACCACCATTTACACTTGAGCCTACTGAGCACTTGAAATGCAACTGTGGAACTGAATTTTACATTTTTTTATATTTAATTAAATAAAAATAAACAAATTTAAATATGTTTAATTGCTATAATATATTATACTATTAAATTAATATAATACAATACTAAATTATATAATGTAATTATATTTAATTAATATAAAATAATATTAAGCTATAGCAATTAAAATATGTTATGAATTTAAATTAATTAAATATAAATAATTTAAAATAGTCACTTAGTCACATTGCTGAGTCCTGACGGATGAGAGGGAGTCAGCCAAATAAAGAACGAAAAGAATGACATTCTGTGAGAGGACATGGCAATTGAAAAGACTTTAAAGTAGGAACAAGAAAGCCCTTTTTAAAAAAGTGAACAAGAGGGCCGGGCGCGGTGGCTCAAGCCTGTAATCCCAGCACTTTGGCAGGCCGAGACGGGCGGATCACGAGGTCAGGAGATCGAGACCATCCTGGCTAACACAGTGAAACCCCGTCTCTACTAAAAAATGCAAAAAACTCGCCGGGCGAGGTGGCGGGCGCCTGTAGTCCCAGCTACTCGGGAGGCTGAGGCAGGAGAATGGCTGAACCCGGGAGGCGGAGCTTGCAGTGAGCTGAGATCCGGCCACTGCACTCCAGCCTGGGCGACAAAGCGAGACTCCGTCTCAAAAAAAAAAAAAAAAAAAAAAAAAAAAAAAAAAAAGTGAACAAGAGCCAGTGTAGCTGGAGAGCCAGGAACCGAGGGAAGAATAGCCAGAGATGGCATCAGAGAAGTAAGTGGGGATGAGCTCATTCAGTCTTAATAAAAACCAAGGGAAGGTGCTTGAATTTTTTTCCCATTGCAATGGGAAACTACTGAAAGTATAATTTGTATTTTAATATGATCAATCAAATGCAATATAGAAAACGAATTGGGTGTGGGTGAGAAAAACAGCAAGACCAATTCAGAGATGATAGCAATAACCTAGACCAGATATTATGATATTTTTTACTAAGGCTTTAGTGTTGAGGATGATACAAAGTGATTAGATATAGAATATATTTTATTGGTAGAAGGAGCAGGACTTGCTGGTAAAGGTAAATTTAAAAAAAAAAAAGATTTTTAAAAAGACTAAAGGAAAATGAACAGACATTTGGCAATTTTGACTAAGAAAAAAATAGAGAAATCACAGCATTTAAATGAAAAAGAGAATATAACCACAGGCACAGAAGAGGTGTCTTAAGTATAAGCATAAAGCATAAAGCTATGTACAATTTCAATCAAAACATTAAAACCTATATTAAGTGGATAATTAAAGCTACATAAGTTGTCAAAAATAGAACACCCCAATAGACAATAAGCAACAAAATAAATTGAAATTTAGTCAAAGACCTATATCCTTAATAGGTATAGGTACAAGGCCCAAATGGCTTTATATGTGAGTTCTAATAATCTCCAAGGCATAAGTATTGCCTAACTTGAACTGTTTGAAAGTATAAAAAAGTTGTAAAACTAACCATTTATTTTACCAGAAAAATATATCACAGGAAAGAAAAGTGAAGCACATTTCACAAATGAAAACAGATGCAAAAGTTCTAAATAAAATGTTAGGAAATCAATCCACCACTATGTCAAAAAAATAACATATCATGACCAAGTAAGTTTCATTCTAGACATACTAACATGGTGACACACTGTAAATTCTATCATTATAGTTCTTCATATTATCAGATTAAAAGGAAAATACTGTCTCAAGAAGTATTTCAATTGGTAACATTTAGTATTCATTTATGATTATAAAAATCCTCTTCTCATTTCAATAGTAGAAAAAAGCATATTAATTTAATGAAGGGTATCTCACAAAACCATACAGTAGGATAACTGCTTCAGACCATTTTTGATTGACTTGTAGCAGACCAAACCTATCGCCAAGAAGAACTTAAAAGGTTGGATGAAGAGTGGAGTGGCTGTCAGAGATGCCTGATGTTTTGGCCTAAGGACCAGTCAGTGAGGCAATGGAGCAAGCAAGGGATCACTTACACCTGAGATGGACTACAGAACAGCTCATGCCAGAGGTAGAAGTTCAAGTCAAATACAGAACAGCTGCACTGAGCAACCAAGAGTGTCAACTGTACCTGAGGCATTCTCAGCAGCAGCAAGTGCCTGTGGTGGATTTCCAGGCCAAACTGACACAGGCGTTCATAACTGAGACACCAAGATGTGGTAAACGCCATACTGGAACAATGAGGAAGCTGAATCCGGGCAAAAACCAGGCTCCATCTACTGTTTGCTTCTGTTTATTCGGGAAGGAATGAGTAATAGCCTAATAAAAAGAGAAATGAGCAACTTTGAAATCCTAAGTAAGAATAAAAGAATTGAGGCCTTCGTCATGTTTTTATTTTTGTTGCTGTGGAAGCTGTATCTTTAGGTAAATACATAATATAAACATTTCTGGATACAGAGATGCTGTTCAGAGAAAATATTTCATTTTCTAGAAGAATATTTATGTTGCCAAACATAAGGACAGGTGAAACGGTCTATCAGAGGACTTCATGGCCCATGTGACCTATTTTTACCTCTCTTCTCCCAAGCAGAGGCAAAATATCCACAAAGAAAAATCCTAAGTGGAATTGGATGGGAATAGTAAATCAAGGAACTCTCACAGAAATCGTAACAAAGAGTCAAGACAGAAAATCTAAGATAATTTCTTTTTAAAATTTTCCTATTCGATTGACACCAAATGACCACAATATAAAACAAAATGGAATTCACCTCAGAAACTCAAATCCCATCTGAGCATACTTCAATACTTGGTCGTGTTCCTAGGTCAGTGACAAAATAAAGATCATCAGGAATAACTCTGAACTTTATGCTCCTGTGTGCAAATATGTCTCTTACACCCTGTTGCCTTCCCCATTGATGAGTCCTCCCTTTTCCCCTCTTTTATATCTTCTGACCCACTTTCCATGTTGACTCTTCCTACTCATAAATATCAAAATGCCTAAATCATTCCTAATTTTAGGAACTCCTTCCATAACCCCCAAATACCATTGCATTTTTTTCCTTCACAACTAATCTTCCTGAAAGAATTATCCACATACAGAATCCTTTATCTTCCACCACTGAATTCACAGCAATCTGCCTTCTGACTCGCCACTTAGAGTTAACTGCTCCCACCAAAGCCATCAATGTCCTTCTAGTTTCTAAGTTCAAGAGATAATTTTCAGTCACTCATACTTGACCCGGTTGCATCATTTGTCACTTTTGACCAACTTCTCCTTTCTAGACTTGGTTTCTGATATACCACTCTCTATTTGTGTGTTTCCTTTCTCTCCCTTTCTGGCTCTTTCTCAGCTCTTTTTCTGGTTTCTCATCTTTTAAAGGATCCTAAATATTAATGTTTCCCAGGTTTCTATCTTCAGCACTCCCTTCTTCTCAATCTACCGATATTTTGCAGGTAATCTTATCCACTCTTATGTCTTTAGATTGATGATTTCTAAATCAATTTAGAAATTGGCCCATACCACCCATACCACCTTTGGGGATACACATCTCATTCATTCATTCATTCAAACGAATTCATACAACATTATTTTAGGCACTGAGGATCCAGCAGTAAACAAAACAATTCTTCCCCGTAGAGCTCACATTCTAGTGGGGAAAATGTACAGTAAACAATCAAATATGCAATGTGCCAGATGGTGATAAGTTCTACAGAGAAAACTTAAGCAGTAATTGGGGAGATAAAGTTGTGCTTTGGAGGGTCCAATCTAAAATAAAGTGGTCAGAGGATACTAGGCTCATAGAGAAGATGAACATATGAGCATAGGCCTAAAGGAGTTGAGGGAGTGATTCAGGCAGATATCTAGGGAATGAGTGCTAGAGGCAGAGGAATAAACAAGGGCAAGAGTCTTGAAATGAGACTATGCCTGTTGTGTTTGAAAACCATTAAGGAGGCCAGTGTGACTGTAACGGAGTGAAAAGGGCAGTAGCAGTATGAGATGAGAACATAAAAGTAACAAGTAGCTTAGAATAAGACAATATCAATTTCTGGTTTCATGGAGCTTACAGGCTCATCTATCCAAATTCCTACTGGACATCTTTATTTTGGATGTCCCACAGACACATCAAATTAAACATGCTGAAAACAATTCAGGCCTCCTCCCATCACATTTCTTCCCCTTTCTGTGTTTCCCTCTTGGGGTGAACGACATCATCCTCCAATTGATTTCTCAAATTCAGAAGTCATCTGAGATCCTTCATATTCTCCCTTACATGTGATCAATCACCCATAGTTGTCAATTTGCCACCCGTATCAGTGAGACTCTAGTCGAGAAAGAGATACTACTCCAGAAATTGCAGACATAGGGAATTTAAAGAAGGTAATTGGCATAATATGTGATTAAATTGCTGGGAAACCCAAACAGCAGCCATAAGGTAACCTAGAGATTAGCTACTACCTGCCTACCAGGAACTAAAGACAACAAATGTACTTAGTGTTATCAGATCTCTGAAATTGCAGCTGCCCAGTGGTAGCTAAAACTATGGTGGGGATTACTGGTAGGAGCTGAGATCATATAGGCAGGGGCTACCAGGAACAACAGAGGGGGCACAACCACTGTGGAACATGCTCCCCAAAGTAGAGCAAGAAAAGGAGCAATACCTGGACTTTCCTCTTCAGTTTCTACCATTCATTCTCTATACTGCTCAGATTTCTAACATGTATATAATGTCATTATCCTGCTCAGTATCCTTCACTATTTCCCAATCACCGATGGGCAAAATCTAAATTCTTTTGCATGGTATATGTGCTAGTTTTCTGTTGTCATATAGCAAATTGCCACAGATGTAACACTTTAAAACAATACAAATGTATAATCTCAGCGTTTTCATGGGACAGCTCAGGTTCAGGTTAACTGAGTCCTCTTCTCTGGGTCTCAACAGGCTGAAATTAAGGTGTGGACCAGGGCTACAATTCTCATAGAAGGCTCGGGGTCCTCTTCCACAGTCATTCAAGTTGTTGGAAGTATTCATTTTCTTGCATTTGTAAGATTGAGGGTCTCATTTTATTGCTGTTTGCTGGAGAGCATCCTCAGTATCTAGAGACCACAGCTAGTTCCTTGCCACATGCTTCCCATAGGTAGTTCACAACATGGTTATTTGCTATTTGCTATTTGCTATCTTGCTAGCCAGGAGTACATCTCTGACTTCTTAATACTCATTTAAGAGCTCACACAGTATCATCTCCCTTTTTATGAACTCAAAGTCGGTTGATTAGTAACCTAAACACTGGAGTTATATCCTATTATATTCAGAGCAAAATCAGTGTAGTTAACACTGGGAATTTGGGGGCCATCTTAGATTTCTGTATCCCTTGGTGGATAGGTCTCTAGCTTCAACTGTGAGAACTACTCTCTCACTCTTTTACAATTTCATTCTAGAATTACAGAACTATATATAGATACTGGAGTATGTATTTCTATACTTCTATACATGCTGTATGTCTCTACTTACACTACTCTTTCCTCTATTTGTCTACCTGGTAAACTTCTCTTCATCCTTTAAGTGTCAGCTTAAATGCTACTTCCACAATGACACCTTTGTTGACTCCCAGGTGGACTTCAGTGTTCCTTATCCTCTGTTTTTATTGTATTTTGTATATGACCCTTTAAAATTACTCTCTCCTGGACTAAGTTTCTCAAGGGCAGGTGCCCTATCTTTTTGGCTGTATCTCCACCTCTAGTATAGTGCCAAGTATGAGTAAAAACTCTGTCAATGGTGGTTAGGTAAATGAATATATTAAAGAATAGCTAAGGAATTATAAGAAGTCTGGTATGGGGAGGAGAGGTTGAAAATAAGGTTGTAGAGATTGTCAGAAGCTGCTTTGTGGAGGGTTTTGTATGCCATACCAAAGAATTTGGACTTTATCCTAAAAGCAATAGGGATATCAGCAGGTTTTAAAGCAGGTAGTAAATATATGAGATTTGTGGTTTTAGTAATTTTACTCTGAAAGTTGTAGACCAGTGTTTCTCATAGTGTATTCCTTGGTACACCTCCATCAGAATCAGTGGTGTTTGGATAATGCAGATCACCAGTCAAACTCCTGACCTATTGCATCAGTGAGTGTCAAAGGGTAGAGTCTAGGAACCTGTATTTTAACATACCTTCTCCCCCATGACTCTTACGTTCCATAAAGCATGAGAATCACTGCAGTACAGATTAACTTGGGCACTCACTGTATATGTGTAAACCTGGACAAGTTTCTTCACTTCTCTCTGCCTCAGTTTCCTCATCAGTAATATGTCAACAATAATGGCACTTATGGAATGGTTATAAAAATTAAGCAAGGTAATGAATATAAAGCTCTTAGAAAATACCCAGCATACAGGAAGAACTCTATTGTAACTATTATTATCATTATTTCTAGAAAGAGTGAGAGTGGGAACAAAAGAATCTTTTGCACCAATTTGTGTCAGTGATGATAAGGAAATGACTTAAGGCATTGGCAATCGGAATAGAAAAAAAGGTATTAAAGGACATTGTGGAGGGATTATCCACAAGGTTTCTTCATTGTAATGGGAATGGGGAGAGCAAGAATTTGCAGTTGAAATTACAGGGGATGAAGGGGAATCTTAAGTTTTGGAAGGAAAATCCTAAATTCGTTTTGGAATATGGTGAGTCTGAGATGCCTGCAAGTCTTCTAAGTGAAGCTATCCTGATAGATTGGCAATACCCTGGAGAGGAGAGGAGTATATTGTGAAAAACAATATCAAACACATGGTTATCAGGACTTGCTCAGTCAAAACACATCTTTTTTCTCAAGTCACTCACCAGTCAGCTCCATTAGGAGTTCTTCTGCAAGTCAGACATCAGAGTGGATGTAGGGGGTTGGCATCTTACCTTAACTCTTGGGGCCTACCTGGAGACCAGCTTCAATTAAAAACCAACTTATAAGAAATGCTCTTCTAGAACTACATGTTGTGAGGTTGAATTAAACCAAGATCAGGAGTTTTTATCTACATGTGCAAAGGTCTCTGGAATAAGTCTCAAGTGTTACTAGGCGGAGTATGGTAGCCATTCAAGATTAAACATAACTGTGACCACTTAACAAAACCAAGGTGGTGGAGGGGTACTGAAAACTAATGCTGTTCAGCCCTTGATGTCTGTGGAAGAGGGAGCCACAGGCCCAGGGTATGTGTTTGTTTGTTTTCCCAGCTTTATTAAGGTATAATTGACAAATAAAATAATTAAATATTTATGGTGTACAACAGCATATTTTAAGATGCACATTCTTTGTGAAATGCTCAAATCAAGCTAATTAACATATCCATCACCTCACATTCTTGTAATTTTCTTTGGGTTGATAAC